GTGTCCAGCCGCGGTGTCAAAGTTTGAAAATATGTACTTGCATAGGAATTCGACCTGTTTTCCATATTACATATACTTTGAAGTTCAGAATATTTTTCATTCACAAATACGATTGAGTTTTTTATTACTATTAAGATATGGATCATTTTCCTATGCAAGTATTTTCATACTTGCAAGTATTTTTTGGTCGTAAAAGGGCGCCGTACTTTAAAGTGAAAACCTGGTAGCGTAAATACGTCTCATTGCGACGCGAGCGACGTGTCCAGCCGTGTTGTCAAAATTTAAAAATACTTGCAAAGGAATTTCACCCGTATTCCATGTTATCCTACTATGAATAAAGAGCAAAGTCGTATAAATAAAAAAAGTAGTACTATTTTTCATTCGCAGATAGGAATATTCTGACCCTGATCCTCAGTAATTGTGTTCAGGAAGTCTAGGGACCCTTCTAGGTCTCTCAAGATGGAACCTAAGACGAGAGAGGGCCATATCTTCAACACCGCATAGGCTCCTTGTTTAAATGAGAGTAGCAACTGATGCATTCTGGACCGACAAGATCGCAACTCCAGATGTAGCGAGTAGCCTGGGTACTTGGTTTGGTGTAGTTTTGTGAAGCAGTCCACTGAGAACCATGAGGAGCACATGTCTGAAAAGCATAGGATCATATTGTTTGGTATAAGAAAACATGATTGTGAAGAAACCTTGATTAAACAGGGATCTGCATCAAAAATCATCTCCACGGAGCCCACTCGCAACTCTTGCCGGGCCTGTGAGGACTGGGCTACTTCTTCGATTACTCGGGTCCAAATTGATGATATTTTGACACATAAGTCATTCAGCGGCTGAGGTTCCTCTATATATAGGGTGGGGGTGACGTCTTGTAAAAGTGAGTGTAGGATGCATTTGTGGCGTATCGTGCCACCCGTACTGCTCGACGGTTGAGCTCTGCATCCTCACGAGCAGGATCTAGCCACTTCTCGTTAAACGTGTCCTGAGTCGCCCGTGCAGCAAACTGTTGGAACAACACAACCGGGTATCCGCCATCCGAGCGGTTCATGAGTAGGAGGGTGGCCATCCATTCATCAGGCATTTCCAGCATCTCAGGGTGCAAGCGCCAGAGTGTTCTTGCCGCCTCAAATACAGTGATAAGCTATGCGGGGATAGGGGTTGTGTCATTCCCAGCGATAGATGTCCCACTGGAAAACCTCCGCGACCTCTAGGATTCGGGAACTTATATAATAATACCCGCCTCTTTGCAGATATTTTCGATCACATTTAAAAACTGACTGGTGTAACCGTCAGGAGTTAAGTTCCTCTCCACAAGATACTGTTTGGACGGAATCCGCAAAACTATGTTACGGCGTGCAGCTGCCTATCTAATAGTAGGATCCTCCCGGGCCCATGGTAGGAAGAACCTACAGGCAGATGCAGGTCGGGCCTTTAAGGCCAAGGTGGAGGGTCTCTAATTAAAATAAACAAAGGGGGAAAGATCGGTAAGGGAAAGGCACTTACCTGCTTCTGGAGCGGAGACGGTTCACCAGGACCTGCCCGGCTGATGGAAGTGTCGTGAATGTATATGTGCTTTGTATGAATATGTTTGTAAGTGGCCTTGGGCTAGATGACACAATAGTGTCCTGGAGAAGGTATCCGCTGGTAGCCTCGGAACTATTCCCCTCTTGAGGCACTCTTTCCGTTTTGTCACGTAATGGTACAGCCAAACGTAGAACTTCAGAGGAAAATCACTATCGGAGTTGCACAATTAATTTGACAGAAATTAATAAGTCCTAAAGAACAATACGTGTTCTCGCAACGATTTACGCGGGTTTATACTTTCGTAACAAATATAGGCGCTAAACTAAGACGTCAGTATAGATCGCAAAAAACTTTACAATGCTTGTCGAGAAATCCGGCCGATACCTCCGTGGAATGCGGCCGGGTGGGGGGCGGGTGACCTTGCTGTCGATGCTACGAACGCAGGTTAAAAGATTTACGTTTCAAATGTATAATATTTTTGCCTAAACAAACCCCCGCCCCGGACATAAGGAATTATGTCCGCGAGTAGATTGGCAAACGGGACAAGGTCGCGACGGCACGTTGCAAGATCGAATCTCCGACCAAAACTTCGGCCACTCTAGGCACCCCATCCGCCCCATACGACAACTTAACAATGCGCCCACGGCGCCAATACAAAGGTAGAGCGTTGGGTTCTTTAACCAACACGACGTCTCCTACCCGAGGAGGTTCCGTCTTGTCAGACCACTTAATGCGCTGCTGCAAAAGATGTAGGTACTCCAGAGACCATCGGTGCCAAAAGCTCTGAGTCATCTGTTGCAGCAGGGCAAACCTGCTCAGCCGCGAAGCGTTCGTTTCCCTGAAGGGGTACTCGGGCAGAGCGTTAAGTGGCTGGCCAATCAGGAAGTGTCCCGGGGTTAGAACCTCCAAATCATTCGGGTCGGATGAGAGGGGACAGAGGGGCCGAGAGTTGAGTACAGCCTCAATTTTACAGAATACAGTGGCGAGCTCCTCAAATGTCAAAATAGTTTCACCAATAACGCGACGGAGATGCGTTTTTGCCACTTTAACCACCGCCTCGAAAATACCGCCCCAGTGGGGACACGCCGGAGGGTCGAATTTCCACTGGATGCCCCTTTTTGACATAGCATTGCCTAAATAAGTCCGGTGGCTAGACAGAAATTCGACGACCTCTTTTAGATACCTATCCGTGCCCTTATAATTCGTTCCGCAATCCGACCGGATCAAGTCCGGCAAACCGCGCCGCGATACGAAACGGCCAAGCGTGTCCAAGAAGGCTTCCGTGCTGAGGGCGCTTACAAGTTCCAAGTGAACGGCTTTAGTGGAGAGGCACACGAAGACGCAAAGATAGGCCTTATGCGAACGCGCGTTATGAAGGTTAGAGGACTTGACGAGGAAGGGGCCAGCAAAGTCGGTTCCGACTCCAGCGAATGGTCGGATGGCCCTGACGCGGTCTGGCGGCAAGTCACCCATGAGAGGCTGCGATATGGTGGCCTTCAGTTTATAACAGGATATGCACTTAAAGATGACGCTCCGAATGGTGCGTCGGCCAGCCAAAATCCAAAACTCCCGCTGCAAAATAGCCGAAAGAGCGTTACACCCAGCGTGGGCATTCTTAACATGGTGGTGGGCTACCAGCAACCGGACAAGGGCGCCGTCCTTAGGGAGCAGCAACGGGTGTCGAGCCCCGTACATCAGTTGAGAATTTTTCAAACATCCGCCAACGCGCAGCATCCCAGCGTCGTCCAGAAAGAGGTTCAGGTGGGCCAGGGCGCCCTTGATAACGGAGCCACGCTTCAAGTTTTCAATGACGGGCTCAAAATGCTCCGTTTGGACCATACGTACATATTGTGGGTGCAAACCTGTCCTGGAAAAGAAGCTTGGATATAAGTGTGAAGGTATGCGTGAAACTATATATGTTGTTGAAGCCAAACAGCGAGTCCAAACTCTTGAAAAGGGGCTCAAGGAGCTCTGCGCGGAAGTGAGTGCACCAGGAGGAGAAGTCGATTGTGATATTTACATAAACGTGATCCTGTCCTGGGCAACCCATCCTGTTTAAGGTCTTGGTCAGCTGCTCTTCCGTTAGTGTCATCGATTGATGTTTGACATAACGGAAGAGAGTTTCCGCCATATTTTTTTTTCTGTCAATACTTGATAGGCGCGCATCTCCGGCGTTATCTTTCCATAACAACTTGCGTCAGTCTCCTTGTACTCTCTCTATTTTGGCACTGCGACCATAACTCGCCAGTCGGAGGGGATGATTCCTTTGTCAATAAGGTCGATAATTTCCTTACAATCGAAGAGCTCTGTGGTGAGCTCTGTGGTGAGATAATGTAACACCACACTTCGTTGAGGGAGGAGGTCCTGTAGGAAATCGTCCGTGAATAGTTCGAAACGCTTTGTGGTCATACTCGTGGATCCACTATGTTGACTTGGGGATAATGGCCTTGTCTGATATTATGTCTATCGTATCAACGTGGTAATTGAATTCAAAATTCTTCAACAGGGTTTCACTCCTGAACTCACCTGGATCCCACTTGTGTGATGCTGTTTCCCCCATTCGTTGGCTAAAAAACAAGACCGGATATGAGGATTTATGTCTGGTGCCATGGTAAAATTACTTTTTATGAATCTTGTATTGGCGGCAGAATTATTTTTAAACATGTTGTTTAGATTGTCCGCAGCAATGTGTAAATGGTTTCAATCCTGTTCCTTTCCTGCATCAGGTTGCGATGCTGGCGCTCATATTCACGATAGGATGGCCCATTGTTTTCCACAGGCTTGCCAGCTCCAGCCGTATCATCGCATGGGTGGGGCATGTTATTGTCTCGGTCTCATGTTTGTAAAAAAAATGTCCTGAACATTCTGACCCAGATCCTCAGTAAATGTTACGTGTGAATAGTGTCGCAGCGGCTTTTTGCAGTTGCGTTGTGGTACCGATAAAATGTCGATGTGGTTGCGTTGTCAAAAAAAAATTTAGCTAAAAAGTGGCTGAGACTGATTTTTTATCTATGCCTTAAATAAAAATATATTATTATTTTAATGAAAGTGGCGCTAGTGTTGCGAGCAAAACCAGGTACGGCCTCTTAATTCATTAACAATAAAAAGTAAGATTATGATTGTGGGCACGTTTCATATAGTTTCCTATTATTACAACAGTATGCATGTACAGTCAGCGCCATATCGACCTACCCTTATCTGTCAAATTTCTGCAACTGAATTTCAACCTAATTTCAAACGCATAGATATCAACATCAGTTGTGGTTTTTTCACAGATTTTCATAGGTCGATGTATCGCTAACTTTACGTTACGCACACGCCACGCATCCGGTCTGCTCAGGCCTTTATTATTGCCAATGAGTTAATTTGCAACTGTGTTAGGGAGGATAGAAAGGCGAAAACAAAGAGCGTACTTATATATCTTTATTTATTTTGTCATTCAAAAATCAACAGAGTAGGTAATTAATCAGTTAATCTCCGAAAATATCCGTTATAATCGGATCATTATAGTTTGAAGCCTGAGAAGAGACGCCGAGTGGAGATTCTGGTACTGAAATACTTCTTGGTGTGGATGCAGTACGCAAATTGCGAAGCTGTGGAGAGCCTGTTTCCATATCCGGCCGATACCTAGACGTTGATGGTCGCTCGTACGGTTGGTACGCTGGTGTCGTATACCCCTGTCCATATTCACTGTAATTATCATTACGTGTAGTTGTAGGTGTGTGATATTTTTGAATTACATACATTACATACTCGTACATTCAATATTTATATCTGAGCATTCAGTTTCCAATCATCGCGAATGGTCTTAAATCTATCGTATAAAGATAGCAAAAAATGCATATCACTGTCACAGGACTTGTCAGGTTCCTGTGTACGAGTATGTGCAGTTACTTGATCGCTCAAATGACTTGTTATTTTTTTTATTAACCCATATTTTGCATCATCTTTTTTTCTTTGGATATTTTTTGGTCTCTTCCAAACTTCAGAGTCACTCGTTTCAGTAGTATTATCGTCTTCATTATCGATTTGTTCGATGTCATCGTCTTTGTTTTGTACTGGTAGAGACGATGTTGTATTTCGATTTTCAGACAATGGCTTTAAAAATAATAATTGACTAAAGTAGTAGTATCTCTTTGAACTACCTGCTGAACCGCTTCTCTGTGAATTTTGTTTTTTAAGGTCTCTGTTGAAAGAGTCTCTTAAGATTTTCCATTTTCTTTGTAAGTTGGCAGCTGAAAAATTAATTGTTAAATTGAAATTTGTAGAAAAGTAAGTTGGTAGTTAAATTTGAAAATAACATATAAAATAATAATAATAATATTTTACAATATCGAAATTACAGTGATCAGATCATATAATGAACTCAGTATTGAAGATAATTTCTGAATATTTAAATATCCATGTTAATAGTTTCAAGTAATTCTTAAATTTATGACAGCCAAGCATCTTTATATGGTTTGATAAATAATTAGTTTTTCTTATACCGGTGGCATAAGCGCTTTTTGAAAGCGTAATATAATTATTTAATGTACTAGCTTCTACTCGCGTGGACTACACGTTATGTAATATATAAATAAGTAGTATTTAATATTTTAATATTTTTTAAATTTTACCATATTAAAATTAACTGGATTTATTTTATATTAGTCCAGTATAATGTAAGATCGATAATTTCCCAAAATGTCATCAGCCTATTGAATGGTGTTAAAAAAGGTTGAAATACCTAATACTTTAAGGGGTCGTTGTACTCTTCAACACGAGCTACTTTTACTATGGGGACACATATACCTACATGACCTAAATGTATGAAACAGCTGATTTTTTACGATTTCGTATGTGTCCCCATAGTAAAAGTTGTTCATATTCATGAGTACAGTACAATGACCCCAATTTATTTCAACCTTTTGTAACAACCTGTATAATTCCATTTCATTATTATTTGTTTTTAATATAATTTTTTTGTTACATATATTTGGCAACGGGTTGTTCGTTTGAAGATCTCGCCAATTTTTTTTAATGTGGTACTTCAACTGCTAGCAAAATTGTCCACGACGTGTGCCGCCTGATTTGGGATAAATTACAGCCTATTCATTTGCCAACATGTAATAAAACAATGTGGCTTGATATTGCGAACAAATTTAAAAAGAAAACAAATTTTCCAAACTGCTTAGGGGCTGTAGATGGGAACCATATTAGGATTATTCATCCACCACGCACTGGTTCATTATTATTTAATTATAAACATTTCTTTTCTATTGTTTTAATGGCCGTATGTGACGCCGATTATTTATTCGTGTATGTTGATGTAGGAGCCTACGGTAAAACTTCCGATTCAACTATTTGGAGGGACTGCAGTTTATATGATGCAATGGAAAGAAATGATTTAGATCTACCTGGACCGCAAGCATTTACCCCTGTAGGTAGGCCCTTGCCTATGGTATTCATTGGCGATGAAGCCTTTGGATTACACAAACATTTGCTGCGACCATACAGCGGCAAGCAATTAACAATGAAAAAACGTGTTTTTAACTATAGATTATCACGAGCACGAAGATATGTAGAATGTTCCTTTGGAATTTTGACTAAAAAATGGCGAATATTGCATAGGCCAATTAACGTGTCAGTTGAATTTGCAACAGACACAGTGAAAGCATGTGTCGTATTAAATAACATAGTACGCAAGCGAGATGGCTATAAATTCGATGACACTTTATCGATAACTTCAAATTTGTTACGAATGCATTCCTTTGATCAAAGTCATGACGGGATTCGAGTAGATTCTATTAGAAATGAATTTCCCGACTATTTTGAGCCCTGAAGGTGAATTATCGTGGCAGTACAATAAAGCGTGAATGGTGTTGTTAGGAATTCTCGGTTTAATATATAGTAATATTCGTCATTCATCGTTTGAGAGTTGTTGGAAGTGGACATGTACATCCTTTTTAAATAATTATTTTAATAGTGACTAGTTAAAATTGAACTTTGTGCCTACCCAGTTAAGAGTTTTTATTGTGCAGTGTAATACTACTACTCATAAGTATCAATACTTGTTTCATCTCGTTCTTGCATCGCATCTGAGACATGCAACTGAAGGGCGCCCGCACCTCACCCCCTCAAGACTAAAAGACAGCGTAATATTTCTTATCTTATTACTCCTGACGCATAAGTACATGGTGCGTAATGGCCAAGTTACAAAGAACTCCGCCTAAGTGCCCTTCAAACCCAGACATAAGTCTAACTACATCGGATGTCAATTATGTAAATACACGTAAGCGCTTCACTGAAGGGTATGACTCGGAATTTCTGTCCACATTGATTGACGAACGTTTTAATACATTAGACTTAAAAATTAAGGAAACTATTACAAATATTGTTACCTCCACGATTTCCAGTGAATTGACTAAAATATCCTTTTCATTATCAAGCCTATATACAATCATATCCGAGCTGCGAGATGAGAACATTAATTTAAAACAAGGTCTTAAGGATTTAAATAATCACTTGTCGGAGGTCGATACTACTTTAACCGATCTTAATGAGCAGTCAATATCATTTGATACACGGCTTAAGTCCGTAGAAAGTCAAGTCTCTAAAGACAATTATTTATCAGACAAATTATTGGTTATGGAGAATAAAATGGCTGCAATGGAGCAACAGGCACGTGACTGTAATATTGAAATATCAAACTTGCCTGAGCGCCGTGGAGAGAATCTTGTTACAATTATTATTAATATTGGCGTGCTAATAAACCAGCAAATCCAACCATCTGACATCATCATGGCTCATCGGGTTCCTCATGTTGGTGAAAGTGATAAACGACCTAAAAATGCAATTATAAAATTTAAGTCCAAAATTTTGCGTGATAATTTTGTAGCTTCATACCGTGCTAAAAAAGGCTTAACTTCAGATCAATTGTCTATCACCGGATCATCGAATAAAATATATATAAATGAACACCTAACCTTGAAAAATAAACAAATATTTCGAGAATCCCGTGAGAAGGCCAAAACATCTGACTACAAATATGTTTGGTACAAGAATGGTACGGTTTTGGTACGAAAAACTGACTCATCTCCTATTTTACCAATACGCTCGCTACAGGATCTTAAAAAAATTAAGCCTCAGAATAATTTGTTACAGTAATGGGTTATTGATTTTATTTTTATTTTGCTTTCATTTATTTTTATATTTTTGTACTGATATTTGGGAGCATGAGCATGTTGTTCACACTTTTATTACTGCAAAAAGGTCGGTAACTAATTTTATAGACTATTTGATAAAAATATACTTTAAAATATATTATGTATTATGCTACAAAATTTTACACAATCTTATATCTTATTGTTATTTACAAAATGTTAACATAATTTACATATCTTTACTCATTAATCATTATACACTAATATGGCGCAGTTATAAAAGAAAATTTAAAAATTCATCTTATCTACTTAATTTAAATTGTGTATCGAAAACTAATCTCAATCTTCCTCACAATATTTATAATGAAATACTTAATAATTTATAATAATTTATTTAATGGATTCTGAAATAAAAAAACATATCAATTTACTATCAGAATTGTCGAGGTTTAAGAACTAAGTTGCACACTCTTTTTATGAATATTTTACTTCTCAACTATGATATAATAATATTGACAGAAACCTGGTTTCATAGTGGCATTTACGATAACGAATTAATAGATCAACGTTATCGAGTATTTCGCAGCGATCGGGATCGGACGGCGACCGGCCGTAAAGACGGCGGTGGCGTATTAGTAGCGGTGCACAGCTCGCTTGTTGCTGTGCCATACTGCCTGCCGCCCGCGCCTCACGCTTCCCCCAACCCGCCTCCTATTGTTGACCATACCTTGGTACTTATAGGTTCGGGTACTAATAAGCTTCTGATATGCGCTTCATACATTCCACCCAATTTAAGTAATGAAGTATACTTTACTTACCTAAATTACATATTTTATGTCATGCAACCTTTAGACTCATGTAAATTTTTAATGGTGGGAGATTTTAACTTACCTACAATTAATTGGCTTCCTAAAGATAATTATCTAGAACCTAGCTTTTATAGTAATACATGTTTATCCTCTAGACACTTAGTTAATTTTATGGCTTTGACTAACAGCTATCAATTTAATCCTTTCAGAAACTTAAATGACCGCACCTTAGATTTATTTATATCAAATATTTTAGAATGTAAAATTATAGATGCTCCTTATAATTTAGTACCTTTGGATAATCTCCACCCTACCTTTTATGCTTTGGTGCCTTTTATGCATGATAATAAGTCTATGCCACGGAGTTTACGAACACAGTTTTGTTTTGGAAATGCTGACTACTCAGTTATAAATAATGAATTATCCAAGGTGCCATGGGACGAAATGTTCTTAGGTAAATCAGCCGAAGTAGCTGTGATGACTTTTTATGAAATACTCTATGGCTTTATCAAGAAGTTCGTACCAACAAAAATTGTAAAACGTTCTTCATTTCCTGTTTGGTTTAACGCCACTCTGATTCATACTTTTAAACGCAAAGAGCGTGTCTGGATCAAGTGGAAAAAATATGAAAACGCTTATCATTATAATGAATTCTCTAGGCTTAGAAAGTACTTTAATAAAGAGTGCGCAATTCGTTATAAAAACTACATGTCGTCAATTCAAGATAACATTAAAAAAAATATAAAGCATTTCTGGACATATATATCAAAGCGTAAAAATACTGCTAGTATTCCTGACAATGTTTATTATAATGATAATATTGCAACTAATCCTACAGAAGTATGTAACCTATTTTCAACTTTTTTTCACTCAATTTTTGAAGCATCTTCTGTTTCAGCAGAGTATGATATTGATAGTATCGATCTTAGACAAAGCCCTGATTCACACATTAATTTAACATGTATTACATTATCAGAGGATGAAGTACTTAAAGAGCTACAAGCTTTAAATACAACCAAGGGAATGGGGCCTGATAATATATCACCAGTATTTCTGAAAAATACAGCAGTTAATATTGTTAAACCACTATGTTTCCTTTTTAATAAGTGTCTAGTTGAAGGAGTATGTCCTGACGTATGGAAAGCCGCTAGAATTGTGCCTGTACATAAGAGTGGTTCGAAACGAAATGTTGAGAACTACCGTCCTATTTCCATTTTGTCAGCCATGTCGAAGCTCTTCGAACGATTAATTTTCAACTGTATATATCCATTACTGCATAACTTAATTATACCCGAACAACACGGTTTTGTAAGGCGACGTTCAACTACTACAAATTTATTAGTATATGTAACGGACTTATTTGAAAACTTAGATTCAAATTATCAAACTGACTGTATTTACACAGACTTTCGTAAGGCCTTCGACAGAGTTGATCACAAAATTCTACTTGATAAAATTGCTTTTAACGGTATACGTGGTAATCTTTGGCGATGGTTTAAATCATACGTAATTAACCGTACGCAAAGGGTTGTTATTAATGGTTACGAATCAGAGTATGTTCCTGTCACCTCTGGGGTACCACAAGGTTCTATATTGGGACCGCTATTATTTATACTTTTTATTAATGATATTAACTCGTGTTTTCAGCACAGTAATTTTTTATTATACGCGGATGACCTTAAAATTTATCGTACCATTTGTGACAATGAGGATCACTTCAGACTTCAGGATGACTTGGACCGCTTTTCTGCTTATTGTTTAAAAAATAAATTAAGTCTTAGTATTAATAAGTGCAAAATGTTAACTGTTACTAAGAAAATAAATTTTAATCAACAACCATATTCTTTGTGCAACTCTACTCTTGTAAAAGTACATTCTGTTTGTGACCTCGGCGTTACTATTGATAGTAAATTAACACTCGATACACATGTTGAACAAATATGTAATAAAGCTTTTAAAATGTTTGGGTTTGTAATGAGATCCTGTAAGGATTTCACCAACCCAGCAACATATATCTTTTTGTATAAGGCATTGATACGCTCTCAGTTGGAATACGCAGTTGCTTTGTGGAATCCTTTCTATAATGTCTATACCGACCATATTGAGAGAGTACAAAAAAAGTTTTTTAAGTCAATGTACTATAGATGTAAGCATAAATATTGTTCCTATAATATAATTTTAAATAAATACAAAATGTTAAGTTTAAAGCGCAGACGACAACAATTAGCAGCAATGTTGTTATTCGACCTTTGTAATGATAGATATGATTGCATTCCTGTAACAAAAAAATTGCAATTTCGTGTACCTACTATGTCACATGTAAGATCAACATGCTCATGTCAAACATTTGCTCTTCCCTTATGTAGAACCAATGCTGGCAAAAGAGCGCCATTATATCGTTTAATGCAAAATTATAATGATCACTTTTGTGACATTGACATTTTTAATAATCGTGCAAATTCCTTTAGAAACAAAGTGATTAATAAGCTTATGAGTCTTACAAACTAAAGAAAGGAAAAGGAAAAAATTAAAACTCAATCATAATACAATTGAATTATATAATTGTTTTGAAATCAAACCTAAAAATTTTGAGTTTATTATTATTTTTTTTTTTTTTTGTTTATTGCTAGATTTTAATTTTTGTTTTTAAATAGTTCGATAATGCTGATCTCTTGTCTACTTAAATTAGAGTTTAAGTTAATGTAATGTCTAATGTCTTTTTGTAATATTACTTATGTACTAAGTCCTCCTTCACATCTCTCATTTTTGTAATTTAATCTGCTAAAATTATTATCTGAGACTGGTGGTGTTGGCTTCACTAAATTTAAATTTTAGGATTAAGATTAGTTATTAATCCTCTGTTGAAGTTGTTTACTGGTCCTTAAATAAAATAAAAAAAAAAAATTAATAAACTTACTACACTGGTTTTTTTCTTTTGTTTCCTTATTATGAAAATCTTCATAAAACTTCATGCAAAGGTTTTCCCATGCTTTGTTTTTTAATATGCGATTGGAATACTCCATTGTCCTTTGATCCCAAATGCATGGCTAATTGAGAATCTCCTCAATAAACATATCCGTGTCAAAAGTCTCGGAGTCGGACATTTTAATTTTTCGCACAACCACGCGGCAACTCAGTACAACGCAGAATGAAAGGGGGGAGCGCAGGCGCCAGCTAGGCGCGCGCTGGTCATGACGTCATGTCGTGGCGATGTGGCCGCGGTTCCGCCGCCGGTGGTGGCGTTGCCGTCGCGATGTGGTTGCGATGTGGTCGTATTACACAGGTGGTCGATAACAACGGCAAAATGTGGTACGTGTAAATTGCAATATTCATTTTCAATACAAAATATACGCCCGACCACATGGCGTCGTTGTGGTGTGGTTGTGGTACGTGTGAATTGACCCTTATGTCTATTGTATCAACGTGGTAATTGAATTCAAAATTCTTCAACAGGGTTTCACTCCTGAACTCATCTGGATCCCACTTGTGTGATGCTGTTTCCCCCCATTCGTTGGCTAAAAATCAAGACCGGATATGAGGTTTTATGTTTGGTGCCATGGTCAAATTAGGCCACTTTTTATGAATCTTGTATTGGCGGCAGAATTATTTTTAAACATGTTGTTTAGATTGTCCGCAGCAGTGTGTAAATGGTTTCAATCCTGTTCCTTTCCTGCATCAGGTTGCGGTGCTGGCGCTCATACTCACGATAGGATGGCCCATTGTTTTCCACAGGCCTGCCAGCTCCAGCCGCATCATCGCATGGGTGGGGCATGTTATTGTCTCGGTCTCATGTTTGTAAAAAGAAGTGTCCTGAACATTCTGACCCAGATCCTCAGTAATTGTGTTCAGAAAGTCTGGGGACCCATCTAGGTCTCTCAAGATGGAACCTATAACGAGAGAGGGCCATATCTTTAACACCGCATAGGCTCCTTGTTTAAGTGAGAGTGGCAACTGATGCATTCTGGACCGACAAGATCGCAACTCCTGATGTAGCGAATAGCCTGGGTACTTGGTCTGTGTCTGCAAAGCATAGGATCATAGTGTATGGTATCAGAAAACATGATTGTGAAGAAACTTTGATTAAGCAGGGATCTGCATCAAAAATCATCTCCACGGAGCCCACTCGCAACTATTGCCGGGCCTGTGAGGACTCGGCTATTTCTTCGATTACTCGGGTCCAAATTGATGATAGTTTGACACATAAGTCATTCAGCGGCACAGGTTCCCCTATATATAGGGTGGGGGTGACGTCTTGTAAAAGTGAGTGTAGGATGCATTTGTGGCGTATCGTGCCACCCGTACTGCTCGACGGTTGAGCTCTGCATCCTCACGAGCAGGATCTAACCACTTCTCGTTAAACGTGTCCTGAGTCGCCCGTGCAGCAAACTGTTGGAACAACACAACCGGGTATCCGCCATCTGAGTGGTTCATGAGTAGGAGGATGGCCATCCATTCATCAGGTATTTCCAGCATCTCAGGGTGCAAGCGCCAGAGTGTTCTTGCCGCCTCAAATACAGTGATGAGGTGTGCGGGGATAGGGGTTGTGTCATCCCCAGAAATGGATGTCCCACTGGAAAACCTCCGCGACCTCCGGGATTCGGGAACTTATATAACATTACCCGCCTATTTGATAATGATATAATGATAAAACTGACTGGTGTAACCGTCAGGAGTTAAGTTCCTCTCCACAAGATACTGTTTGGACGGAATCCGCAAAACTATAATCTGATTGTCGCCCTGTCCCAATAGGGAGGCGGTGGTGACGCACTGGTGGGATGCTAATAAGATTATAAGAATGCTCGCAAGTGTCCAGCCCTTTTGTCGCAGCCCCTCCAGCCAGGCCTCCGGACAATGCACACATCGTGATCCCCCAATGGGCATACCGGAGGAGTGTTGATTGTGGGTGCAAACCTGTCCTGGAAAAGAAGCGTGGATATAAGTGGGAAGGTATGCGTGAAGCTATATACGTTGTTGAAGCCAAACATCGAGTCCAAACTCTTGAAAAGGGGCTCAAGGAGCTCTGCGCGGAAGTGAGTACACCAGGATGAGAAGTCGATTATGATATATACTTCTTACGTGGTGGTAGAGCTATGCTGCAGCTATAAGTTGTAGCACGAATGGGTCAGCTCGACCGGGGAAGGACCACGCTCTCACAGAATACCAGCGTAAAATAGCAGTTTAATGCTGCTGTGTTTCGTATGGTGAGTGTAGAGAACCGGATACCCTTTTTACTGGAAAAGAGGCATTACATCTTAGTCCTCACGAGTGACAACGCATCTCGCTTTTTGATTCTTTATTGAGGATAAATGTAGATGTCTATGGGCCACAGCAACCACTTACCATCAGGTGGACTGTGTGCTCGTTTGTCACTCGATCCTATAAAAAAAAGAAGATATTTATATAATCGTGATTCTGTCCTGGGCAACCCATTCTGTGTAAGGTCTTGGTCAGCTGCTCTTCCGTTAGTGTCATCGTTTGACGTTTGACATGACGGAAGAGAGTTTCCGCCATATTTTTTTTGTCACCACTTGATAGACGCATATCTCCGGCGTCATCTTTCCATAACAACTTGCGTCAGTCTCCTTGAACTCCCTCTATTTTGGCACTGCGACCATAACTCGCCAGTCGGAAGGGATGATTCCTTTGTCAATAAGATCGATAATTTCCTTACAATCGAAGAGCTCTGTGGTGAGATAATGTAACACTACACTCTTCGTTGAGGGAGGAGGTCCTGTAAGAAATCGTCCGTGAATAGTTCGAAACGCTTTGTGGTCATACTCGTGGATCCACTCAGTTTTGATGATAATGGCCTTGTCTGATATTGACTGAGGACTGGGTTACTTCTTCGATTACTCGGGTCCAAATTGATGTTAGTTTGGCATAAAAGTCATTCAGCGGTAGAAGTTCTTCTATAATAGGGTGGGGGTGACGTCTTGTAATAGTGACTTTTTAACGGTGGTAGAGCCACGCAGCAGTTTGTGCTGTTGCACGTATGGGCCGGCTCGAGCCGGGTTGGTACCACGACCTCACAGAATACCGGCGTGAAGTAGAGGCTCTGCTTCTGCGTTTCGTCTGGTGAGTGCAGGTGGCCGGAGGCCCAATTCCCCCCCCCCCTTCAACAAGGTAGCGGAATTACACGCAAGACTACCCCAGGAGGGTACCAGCACCCCTGGAGAATCCCTCGCTGAGCATCCACGACCATGTTATTCCAATCCTGAGCGTGGGTGCTCAGGCTGCCCCGCGTATTCTGGGGGGGGGGGGGGCAAAATTCCGCTCAAAAATATAACTGCTCGGGGCAAACTGAGCAACAATACCAAGGCGACCCCTGCCACGCTATCAGTGAATTTCTGCAACATCAGGGGACTTCACTCCAACCTAAACGCCGTCCACTACCATCTCGAGACGGCGAAGCCGGCCTTGCTCTTTCTGACCGATACGCAGGTTTCCTCTCCGGCTGATATTTCGTATCTCTCCTACCCGGGGTACAAACTGGAGCATTCCTTTGTGCCTCGGGCTGGAGTTTGCGTGTATGTCAGAGAGGACATCTGTTCTCGACGCCTCGGCAGTCTTGAAGGTTCGGACCTGTCCATCCTTTGGCTACGCGTAGACAGCGACGACCATCCGCGCGTCTACGGGTGCCTCTATAGGTCCCATAGCGGAAATGCCGAAACAGACCGACTCATCGACCACGTCCAAATGGCTACAGATTCCTTGCTACAACAGGTCCCATCCGCAGAGATCGTAATCCTTGGCGATTTTAACGCCCACCATGCCGAATGGCTCGGTTCACGTTTAACCGATCATGCGGGGAGATCTGTTTATGACTTTGCCTTGGCATATGGTCTGACACAACTGGTTACTTCGCCTACGCGGATTCCAGATGTGGAGGATCATACACCTTCCCTGTTGGACCTTCTGCTGACCTCTCATCCGGACGGATATCAGGTTTCTGTCGATGCCCCTCTCGGCTCTTCGGACCATTGTCTGATCCGGAGTGTGGTGCCACTCACGCTCCCTCCGCAGTTGCGTTCTGCAGGTTGCCGCCGTGTTTGGCATTACAGGTCGGCGGATTGGGATGGAATGCGGTCTTTCTTTGCATCTTACCCATGGGGGCGGGTTTGCTTCTCGCCGGATGATCCCAGCGCTGTTGCTGACTCTGTCACTGATGTGGTGCTACAGGGAATGGAACTATTTATTCCATCATCTGTGGTACCCATCGGAGGCAGATCTCAGCCTTGGTTTGGTCGCTCCTGTAAGACTGCATTACGCAGTAAGCAGGAGTGTTATCAAGCCTGGGCTGCGGCTTCGGCGACTCGGGATGTAAACACCAGCTCACTTAAAAAGAAGTATAACTTCGCCTCCAGGTCCTTCAAAAGAGTTATTGCCAAGGCAAAGTCAGAGCACATAGGCAGAATTGGCGAGAAACTAGTTCGCCTTCCTTCGGGAACCCGTGCATTCTGGTCTCTCGCCAAGGCTGTCCAAGGGAATTTCTGTAAGCCATCACTACCATCTCTGCACAGGGAGGACGACTCACTGGCCCAAGACGCAGAAGACAAAGCTGACCTTTTAGGCTCCTTTTTTGCGTCCAACTCGACTCTTGATGACGGGGGGAAAACACCGCCGACCATCCCGCGGTGTGAGTGCTCCATGCCGGATGTGCTGTTCTCACAGCGCTTGGTTCGCAAAGCACTTCTCTCCCTGGACATCCAGAAGTCGAGTGGGCCTGACGGAATCCCCCCAATTGTGCTGAGGACGTGTGCTACGGAGTTGGCACCGGTCCTAACGCGTCTTTTCCGGTACTCCTACTTCCAAGGCGTAGTCCCGAATTCATGGAAGACAGCTTTTGTCCACCCGATCCCTAAAAAAAGGCGACCGCTCAGACCCGTCCAACTATAGGCCTATCGCGATCACCTCCTTGTTCTACAAAATAATGGAATCCATTATTAACTGCCAGCTCATCCGGTACCTTGAGGATCACCAGCTGATTAGTGACCGCCAATACGGTTTTCGTCGGGGTCGATCAGCTGGTGATCTTCTGGTCTACCTGACCCATAGATGGGCGGAGGCAGTAGAGTCCAAGGGGGAGGCGTTGGCCGTTAGTCTG